CCTCCCTCTCTCTCTATCTCTCTCTCTCTCTCTCTCTCTCTCTCTCTCTCTCTCTCACACACACACACACACACAAATACACAGAAATAGGTCTACAGAGAAGAATTTAAAGACACGTTGGCCCCACACAGATAAAGAGAGACATTTGTTCCTAGAGCATCAACTTGAAGGCATGTGTGAAATACACAAAGGTGCAGATTATCTCAGGAACTGACAGACAACTCCACACACGCACACACACACTCCTTCTGGAAATGCAGAAGTGCACTCACAGGATACACAGCAAAGATGGGTGCAGATGCAATCACACAGTAATTAGGTACTCAGACACACTTACCAGACTACTGATACATGAAACAGCACACACACACTCCTCCTGCAAAGGCACTCAGATCTACAGAGTCAGGTGTGTTTGGATTCAGGTGCAGGCACAGGTATGCACACACATGCTCATTGGGATGCCAGACTTGCAGGCTGCCACCCCTGCTCTAGGCCACTGAACTAAACACAAGCTGGAGCAGAGGCCCCAGCCCAACCAGCCCAGCTCTCCACTGTGTCACTAGGCTGCTTAGGCGGTGGTGTGAGCCAGGACAGAGGTGTGGCCCCAGCCTGGAGTCACAGAGTGCTGGGGTTGGGGTATACTCACCATGGGCCTCCTCTGGAACTAGGCCCAGGATTCCTGACTTCCACTGTTGTCCTCTCTCTTTTTACTGAGATATAATTGACATACAGCATTATATTAGTTTCAAAAGTACATGACTTGGTATTTATATATTTTGCAAAATGATCACCACAGTAAGTCTAGTTAACATTGTCACTGTGCAGTTACAGAATGTTTTTCCTACTCTTTTTGTTTCTACTGTTGTCTTCCCTTGTTAACTCTCCCCCTACCACAGTGCCCCCATGCCCAAGTGGAGACAGACACTCACCAGTGACAGAAAACGTGGAATCCCCCAGGCCTTGGCCTGCCCTCTCCTCCAACTCAGATGGCGACCTCCGGATGGCCTTCTCCAGCCTCTCCAGATGATAATCTCTCCAGCCAGCCTGGCACTGTGCCCTACCCCCATCCTTACCCCCGCCCCCAAGGGCACCCTGCACCACCCTTGCTGGACAGCGCTCAAAGTGTCCCACCTCAGGCCCCCTGCCCCAGCCCTGGTACTCCTCTGAGCCGCAAGCACGGTTCCTCTGCCCTCTAAGATGTGTCCCCTGCGTCTGCCACTCACAGCCCTCAGCTGCTCCTCCTCCTCTCCTGGCTGCCTCCCTCCTCGGGACTCTCCCACGCTGCCAGTGACCTTCTCCATGACAAGGCCAGACCTGGCCACTGCAGCCTGGGGTTGAACTCTCCCTTCCCTGAGGATGGACACTGCACTCTCCCCTGCAGCTACATAAGTGGCTAGAGGATGACCTGGTCACCAATATTCCTAGGCTCCCTTTCTTGGGTCCAGCCTCTGCTGGGGCAACTGGCTTCCACAACTGCTCTGAAAACAAACTCTATCTCCTGACATTTATTAGGGTGAACCTGGGAATCATTTTGCTAGTTTTTAACCTTAGGGCCTCAGGCAAGTCACTCAGTTTTTCTGTACCTCAATATGATTAAATGAAAACAGGAACACTACTAATTCTATGTCATGTGCATTACTGGGAGGCATCCACAAATGTACAGAAGTAAACTACAGAGTACATGGTGTACCTTGGCTCCCAGTAAGAGCTATATGTGTTTTAACCCTTACCATCACCTTACCGTTTGCGTTCAGGTTTTTGTAGCCTTGTGCTGTCACCTCTACCTCAAAGCCCTGTGTCACATTCAAAATGGGAACAGCAGGCTTGCTGCGGCTTCGTTTGCTAATGACTAACATTTATTAAACCAGCTCAATATGTGCGAGGTACTCTTCCAAGCAATAAATATGCATTAACTCATTTCACCTGCTGAAAACCTGTGAGGTAGTTACTAGTATTACATTCATTCTATAGCTGAGGTAACTGAGGCGCAGAAAGGCTGAGTGACTTCCCCAAGATCATACAGCAAGTATGTGGTAGAGCTAAGAAATGAACCCAAGCAAGCAGCCGGGCTCCACAGCTGTGTGCTCCATCCCTATGCTCCTGCCACTGTTATTGGCTAAAGGAAAATCAAGCTCAGAACCCACTGGTACCCCATTAGAGATCCTTCTCACATCCCTAGGGACTAGTCAGGCCTCCGACTATCCACTGCCCAGATTGCTATATCTGAAGCACCTCCTTAGGAAGAGTTCATTATAGACACAACATTTCAGGCCTGAAATAGACTTTAAAGGCTACTCTGTGGTACTGTTACCTGCAGGGAAACTGAGGCCAGAGATGGAGGACACTTCCTAAGGTCACACAGTACAGTCCTGGAGTCCTGCCTGGCAGGAACAGATGTGTGACAGATACCTGGACTGGAAGGGAGTCTGCTCTCCTTTTTAGACTTGAGAGGGCCTGCCCACCTCAGGCGCCTTCAGCCCAGTGACCAACCTGGAGCAGGAGCCGACAAAAGCAGCTGTGTCTTCTGGTGAGCCTCTGTGCTAGACACAGGAAGGCAGCATCATCAGCAACCCGCCCAGAGCCAGAGGCCTCAGGGCCTCCAGCTTTCCGCAGGAGTGGGAGGGGACTCAGAGACCCTCCAGCTCTGTCCCCACTGCCCCACATCCTTGCAGGGCCCTTGCTGCAGCAGCAGGCTAAGGATGGCCTAGCTCCTAGGATGGGGCATTCACCCCTGTCCAGCAGTTGTTCTAGCGCCCTGAGGGGGAAAAGCTCTTAGTCTTTCTACCACCACATCCTCTGGGGCCATCCCTGGCCTAGTGGAAGCACCCACAGTGGAAAGGCAGCGCCTGAGCCACGTAAGCCATGAGTCCTTCTTCTGCCCTCACAGGCTCGGTGCTCTCTGGAACACCTCCTTTTGGACTTCTCTGGCTGCTCAGCACCCCCATTGCCCAGCAGTGGGTAACCTGGACATGGAAGCTCCAGGAGAAATGGATCACTGGTCTCCCCACCCCACCCTCACTACATGCTCCCTTTACTAAATGAAACCTGAGCAGGACCCGCCCTTTTCCTCCTCACCCTCCCAGTGCACAGAACCAGGCAGAGAAGGCTGAAAATGAGACACTGCTCCATCCCCAGCTCACCCCTCAAAGGGAGGGCACTGCGCTTGCTTCCAGGAAGAAAAGGGGAACCTCTAGAGCATCTTTGCTGTTCAATAAGGTCAGAGTTGATAAGGACACAGCCCAGTGCCTGGGTGAGGGGCATCCTGGAAATTCTGAGATTAACCCTTAATACTGATGCTCCTCTCTGGGGTGCAAACCTTCCCCTCGCACAGCCTGATACTGCGCACAGCAGGTGACAGAAGCCAGGTCCCCAGAAGGGACCCCAGTGATTTCACCCAAACCCTGCATCTTACACATGGGGAACCTGGGCTCAGGGCAGGGAAGGGCTGGGCCAGAGGGCACAAGTGCACATCGGTAGTGTTACTCTCATTTCCCTTGTGAGGGTTTGAGGCCCCAAGAAATGAGAAGACTTTCCTGAGGTCAGGCTGCAAATCCCTTCTACACTGGATAGTAAAGGCAATCTCCTGCCCTGGAGGGGTCCTGAGAGTTGTCTGCCAGGGTAAGCCCCGCTGGGGCAGACAGGAGAAGTGGGAAGAGGAAGGGCAAGGAGGAAGAAGATAAAAGGGGGAAAAGTAAAGGGGCCGGGAAGTGCTGGAAGGCCACGGGAGGTGTGGGGTGAGAGGTGCCAAGTCAGTAGACAGGAAGCCAAGACTGGGCACTTGTTCGTTGATAGTTTACTGAGCAGCCACCAGGCAGGGGGTGGCCCCAAAACAGATGAAACTGAGAGCACCTCTCTATCTGCTCCACCTGCCCAACCCTAATTAACCAGCAGTCCCTCCTGAGGGGGTAAGGGCCCCTGGCAGGGAGAGCCAGCTCTGATTTCCATGTGCCCCAGTGCCTGGCACAAGCACAGAATACTCAGAGTTCTTGGTGGATGGGTTTGGGAAGTGGCTTGGAGATGCTGAGGGCCACAGCAGAATATCAAGAAGTGGGGGTGGACAAGAGGGTAGAAGGCTGGTGTCAAAGTGCAGTTGCCAGGGGCACCACAGACTCTTGCCAAGGGAGAGGGCTGAGAGCTCAGAAGAGTTTTAAGCAGGGGGGTGAAGGGATAAGCTTTGCATTTAGGGAATATTCCTCACAAGGCCAGTGAGCTGAGTGGAAGGGGGAAAAATATAAGCAGAAAACACACATTGAGGCTGTTTTCTGGATTCAGGGTAGAGGTGATAGGGGCCTGGATGGGGAAGGACAGCTGGAATGGAAAGAAGGGGACAGAATCCAGGAACTTGGGCAAACGGGAGAGGAAAATTTGGCCCATCGTCAGGGAAATGGCAGAAAGAGATAGGAAGAAACTGAACACAGAGCCTGGTTCATGACACAGCCTTAAATCAGAAGCTGGGAAATTCAGAGGTACCTGCAAAGGAGCTTTGTATTTCCTTCTCTCAGCCAACCTTCTGCAGTGCCCATTAGTCAGGAGGAAGGGGGACGGCCGCTAATGCAATGCATGAACCTAAGACAAGGGCATCTAGGTATTCCTCAAGGCCAACCTGACCTGCCACCACCACCTCCAGGAATCCCACCCTGGCTGCACCCACCTCCACTGACCTGACCATTCTCTGAGAACCACCAACCCTAGACCTCCCTCCTGGTGGATGTGGGCATGGACCTGGGCACAGAGACTGAATGGGAAAGGGAGCTCAGGACCTGTTGGGTGAGCTTAAGTGATGTGATGTCATTTCATTTTCAGTGTAAATGCTGTCTCCAGGTGTCCTTAGAGTGGGAAATTTATCACATGGGCCCAGCAGAGGCCTGTCTGGGGTGGGGCACTGAGGCCAGGCAGGGAGCCTTTCCTGACACTGATCCATTAAACTGATGGGCACACTGAGCTCCAGGCAGAATTGAGAGTCATATCCAAGGGTCCTCAGAAGCAGCTCAGGCTCCCAGGACTAAGCCCCTCCCTTTCTCAACATTTATACCACTTCTCTAACATTACAGCCCAGGGATTGGTACACCCTTCCAGCAGGGCACATCCAGTCACCTATTTTTGTACAACCAGTGAGCCAAGAATGGATTTTACATTTTTAAATGGTCAAGAAATAATTGAAAGACTCTCATTTCATGACACATGAAATTCAAATTACAGCATCCATAAGAAAGTTCATCACAACATAGCCATGCTCATTTGCTTATGTATTGCCTGAGGTTGCTTTTACAGTACAACAGAAGAACTAAGTGGCTGTTACAGAGTATATGGTCATCAAAGCCTAAACTATTTACTTTCCAGCCCTTCACAGAAGAAGTTTGCTAACCTTCACTCTAGTCTCATGCTCTAGTCTCCACTCCATTAAATGTGAATTTGGACTTCATTAAGGAAGACTTTTGTGATTTTTCTTGGGGAAAAGTCTGAATCCCCAGATGTGTCTAGATCCAAGTGAGAGGGTGTGTCCCAATGTCCGGTTTGCCATTCTGTTATTGAATTTTTTACCCCCAGCAATCTGGCAGGTATCATAGCAAGCTTATGTGCCTCCACAACAGTGTGTCACTCGCTCTCGTGTGTCACTGTGGGGGTGGCTGTCACCATGTGCCTCTGACGGCATCCAAGGCTGGGTACAAACACATTACAGTTGAGGAGTTTCCAGCTGCATGTTGCCAAGCAGCCGGACCACTAGGCCCAGTAATGTTCAGACCTCGGACTGTTAGGTTCCTCCATTCAGAGGTAGTCCAGGCTTCCAGGGCCTCTAGACGTACCAGGCAGCCCTGGTCTGGGGCATCAGACCTCTGCCCACATACTTCCTACACAAGAAACCCAATGTCACCCTATGTGTCAGCTCTATCCTGGGTGCTCTCAGAGGAGGCAGGCCTCCCTGGCACTGAGCTGGGCTTGTGCTCTGTGCTTGGCACACCGTGGTTCTGCCCTCTGGCAGACAGCACAAGGTGTCCTCCACTTAACTGGTGCCAGCCTTTGGTCAATGAAATCTTCATCCCTGGGAGGCTGGAGACCTGGGACACTCAACCTAAGGCCATATCCCCAGGAAGACCTTGTGGCTTTAGCAATTGTCTCTCCTTGCCTCTTAGTACACACACTGACCTGTAAACAACCATTTGGTGTGCCTGCTTATTCAACACAAAGTGAGAGAGTGTCCCATGACAGAGAGGGGTGGCCACATGGCAGAGGATGGGTCCCAAAGCATTTCTCCAATCAAACCCCTGCCAGCCTGAAGCTTACCCAAAATAGGACCTTACTGCATCCTTTAGCTTGATTAGTCCTCAGAATGCAGGAAAGGGTTCTTCGAGAGACTCTGCAGACACCTGCCCTCCCTGCATATAAGGGCAAACTGACTCCACCGGCCTTGGCCCAGATACAGACCTACAGATGAGCTACTTATGGTGAGGGAGGGAAGGGACTGGGTCTGCCCCCCTGGTCACTCCACACACACCTGTTGATGGATTGGTTGGAAGGTCAAGCTCAGAGCCTGCCTGTGTTATGCCGCTAATTTGTACGTTCAGATTCTAGCCTGTGTCTGGACTGGCACCTCTGCTTACCCTCCCCAAGGTCAGTGGGGAGGAAGAGCCCCAGATTCGGCTAAGGACTGAGGGCTCTGCCAACAGCACCTTCACCCAAAACAAAACTCAGATTGGAGCCTCCTGAAAATCTGAGTGTTCCCCCTGCTCTCCCACCCCAGGCACATAAACAGTTCTTCATCCCTTTCAGAGGCCCCAGTCACTCAAAAGCTTCCCGGCTGACCTTAACAGTTTTCTGCCTCCGGCCAAGAGCAGTCCCAAGACAAGTGGCCCTCCACAGACTCTGCAGCCTCCACCCAACCCTCAGCTGCCCCCACAGGCCCGCTCACCAGAAACGCCAAATACTGTTTTCTTTGGGAAAGGACGGATGGCTTTGTGGGGCACTCTAAGGCTAGGGGAGGTAATGATGGGAAGATTGACGCACCTCCACTAAAAGCAAAGAAATGGTCTGGAGAATCAGCAGGAGTCCACCACCCCTCCCCCGGCAGCTTTCAAAGGGGGCCTGAGCTCCTTCCAGGGGTAAGGCCCTACTCCCCGGCTCCACGTGAAATACAATCAGCTTCTGGCTGGGCTCCCTCCAGAGCGTCCACCTCCATTCACTGGCGCCCTGGCGGCTTCTGACTATCCCGCCGCTACCAGCCCCTCACCCCCGCAACCCGCCAAGGTCCGGCCCCAGATGTGGCGCCCCCCTCCCGCAGCCGCAGCATGAGCCTGCGCCTTTAAGGCGGCAGCAGGGGTCTCGGACCGGCCCACTGCAGCCCGGGGAGGCAGGAGCGTTTCTCCCACAGGCCCCCGTAGGGCGTTTCCTAGCGGGACCACTTAAGTCCAGGCTTCGAGACCCCAGCCCCGCTGCAGAGCGGGAAACAAGAGTGAAGACGCTCTTTTGAATAATCCCAAATGTGTCACTATGGAGCGTGGCATTCTACGCTGACCCCTACCCCACCCCCTACCCAGCATCGCTTGTTCTCTCCTCAAACCCCGAGAAGACTGCAGTACCCAGCCCCCGGGGACCCTCCAGCGCCGCCTTCCCGATCCGCGTAGGCGCGTTCCTCTGGCTCCCTCCGGCCGCAGTGCCTTCCCTGCCCCGGGTCCTCCCTTCAGGCACGGGGAGGGGCGCGAGGTAGCTAGGCCGACCCCACCCCCTGGGGGCAACAGGGACCAGTCTCCTCAAGCGCGATCCCTTATATTGGGAGGGCACGGGGATCAGACTGCCATCGAGAGAGGGGCAGCAGCCGAGGGGCTTCATGTCGGATTCCGGAGGTTGCCCCCGAGCTGGCCAGCTGGCTCTCCGTCGGCGGAGGACGCGGCTTGCGGAGACCGCCAACTGGGAGGAGGGGGGTCTGCAGACCCCAGGGGCGAAGGTTCTGGAGTCTGGGGCGGGCGGACGGGGCGTGAACAGGCAGCGGAGGCGGGGCGGCCCTTACCTGCTCACAGCGGGGCCTCGCCACTGGGCTGCTGGCTGCGGGTTGGCCCGGGGCACACTCCGCGGGGAGGAAGCGCAGCTGCAAGTCCGCGGCCCGCGCCACCCGGGGATGCGGAGCATGTGCGCCGAGGAGCGCGCGCCGAGCCCGGGTGTCCGCGGTCGCGGCGGCCGGTGTCGGTGGGTCCCTGCGTGGCGGCTCGAATGTGTGCGCACGCGGGGACCGCGCTCGCCTGGAGCCGCCGCCGCCGCTGTCAGTCACCGCCCGGGCCGCGAGAGCGGCGCCCCCTGCCTGCCCTCTCCCGCCCCGCGCCGCGCGCCAGCGCTGCCGGGTCTGACCTGCGGGAGAGGCGCCGCCTCCGCCGCGAAGCCAGGCTGAGGCTGGATGGAGGCTACGGACCACCGCCTCCCCGCAGCGCACTTCGCGGGCTGGGGGTGGGGTGCAGGCCAATGGGCGCCCGGGGGAGGGGTTGGGGGCGAGACCCCGCCTCTCCGCGGACGGCGGCAGGAATTGCAGAGCAGAGACCCCCGGGGAGAGGAAGCCGAGGCGACGACCCCTCACTCTTTTTTTTTGCTGGCCTTCCGGGACTCGGAGTAGGGCTTTCCCCGGGGTTTACCGTCCTCATTTCCACACTTCCCAAGATAACCATGAGCGAGAAAGTCCCTTTCTTTCTCCCTCCCACGTCTTCACGATTTCCTGTCTGCTAGAGCCTGTACTTCCTCCTCCAGGAAGCCTTCCATGCAGGCAAGTCCCAGACTCTCCTTGGCTAACTCTGCCATCACATCACGAGCCTGAGAAGTTCAACTAGCTTTGGGATCCCTGCCTAGATGTCCTCAAATGTGATCCCCTGGAGAACACCTCCAAGGCTAGAAAAGTGGGCAAGTGGCAGCCACAGAAGCTTAAAGTAGTACTGTCTGGACTCATACTACCTGGGTTTCCAGTCTGCTGTGCCAGGGCCAGCTCTGTGAGCTTGGACAGGTGACTTAATGTCTCTGAGCCTCAGCTTCTTCATTTGTACATGGGAATCACAGTACCTACACCCTATCCCTCCCCACAGCTGTCTTGACAGCAGAATTAAATAAGAATGGGACACAGCACCCATAGTAGGTTTTCACTGATTTTATTTATTCACTGATGAATACATTACTCTTGTGACTGTTATTGTGGTCTTGCTCAACCTCCTCCTAGGTTAAATGGATGGGTAAATCGAAGTTTAATGGGGGGAACTAAACAGGTCAAGGTCATGTAACCAGTCGGTGGTGGACCCAAAGCCTAACCCAAAGCCCAGGTCAAGTACTTACCCTCTGCCCACCCTGACCAGCAATTCCACTACTGCCAGTTGCCCCTGCTCTGCTTCTGGTCACTACCCCAGGAGTCAACATCCCAAGAGCTCCCTCCACACCTCCATCCACAGTTTTGCAACCAAGCTCTGTCTCCCCATTCAACTAAGGTATTGTCCAGCCTCCATGTAGACCCAGGTCTTGGGTATGGCTACCTTGTTAAGGAAGAGAAGCCTCAAGTGGAAGAAAGAGTCCTGAGCCTTCCCTTAGGGATTCTCATCCAGCTGAGAAGAGGACCAGAGAATGGAGCAGGAGTCCATATGAAAGCTTGAAGGAGGTATCTGAGGCCCCACAATGGTGTGAGATAGTCCCTAGGTCCACACAGCAAGTTGATGGTTTCTGTTTACTGCACAGCAAACACTGGCCCCCACTGGTACACCACACTATTGGTCTGCATGACTCACATTCCTTTCAGTCCAGGAAAGCTTTCTGGAGGAGAATGTCAGTCCTCTGTATCAATAAAGAATGTGACCCTTCTGGAGAGAAAAGGGCCAGGAGCTGTGCTAGAATCAATCAGACAGGACTTCTCTCTGGGACTGGCTGCGCCCCTTCCCAGCTTATTGCCCTGGGAGTCTGCTTCCTTCACCTGCCTCCAGTTATTGCAAAGATCAAATGGGATGATGTGTGTGAAAGTGCTCTGTAAACTGTGACATATGGTGAGAGGGAAGGAAAGGCTGCCAGAAGTCTCAGAGTCAGAAGGGAAGCACGGAGTGTGGGACGCTGGTGGCCCAGGAGTGTGAGGAAGCAATCCGAGTCACCTATGCAAGGCAGCTCACCCTGAAAATGTCAATGTCGGGTCCCCTGGGCCCTGAGGTTCTGCATATAGCTCCAGACTCTCAGTTAGTTCTCCAGGTCCCATTGTGGGTTCTGTATTCCCTGCAACTTGGTCTGTGTCCTCAGATGTACATCATGGTGTGGCAGTGAGCAGGCTGGCATGGTGCACAATTTAGGCAACTTTTCCTCCCTCCTGGGCAACAGGGGAGGAGTCCGGTCATCCTCTGATTACACCATTGTTCCACTTGTGCCCCTTTGCTATGAGGCCCCTGGCCAGAGGGTGAGTCCTCTGCTGACCACAGCTAGGGGTCCATCAGAGCTCCAGGTATCCCTGTGCAGTGTGTGCCCTGCCCAAAGGAACAGAGCCAAAGGATGAGTGGAGGCAGAACCCGGCTCCTGCTCTACTCACTTCACACCAAGGCGAGCAAGCCGATGCCATGGGGAAGGGGCACTTTTTCTAGTTGGTCCTAGAAGGGGGCACCTCTCTGATTCTCTCAAAGGTACTTTATGGGCTAGCAGTCCTTGTGGATGGATCCTAATCTGAGCCCTGCCTAGTTAGCGTCACCTGGGGGAGGCATGGAAATGAACATCAGTGCTGGGATCTGGAGGGCTGTCGAGCCGCTTCTCAATGAACGAAGTGCCTCAGCCCAGAGGGTCCACAGGACGAGTCCAAGGACACACAGGCAACTTCTCCATCAGAATGGGGGCTACACTGTGAGTCCTGGTCCCCAACTTGGTGCTCTACCTGGTGGGCTGTCCCCCTCATGCCGGAGGCCCTGGCTGGCTTTTCATGTCTGAATTATTCTCTGCCCAGTCCAGCATATGGCTCTGGTCTCTTCAGACAATCTTGGTTTCCCTTGGGCAAAGGCTATACTAATTCTCTTCCCCCAGACGGGGCCTCTCCAGGGACAGGGCCACAGCCTCCTTTTTCTTCCAAACCAAACAGCCCATTCTCACTCTACCTGACTAGCTTCAGGGAGCCTGGAGGCCAGGGACCACCCTTCGGAATGGTCTTCTCCCAGAGAAGCCCTGGAGCTGCTTTCTCTCCGCCTTGGAGGCAGGCAGGGTAGGCTTTTCTCTACCCTGAGGTGCTCACTGCCTCAGCTCCTTTCCACAAGCCAGTCAGCCAGGCGGGCAGCAGCTGAAAAACATGGGTTTTAATTCAATTTTCTGAGACGTGTCTGAGGGAGATGGATGCCAGGCTGCCCTACCCAGCATTCATCTCTCCTGAGCAGCAGTTCCCTCCCTGACTCCCAGCCTCCCACCCCAACGCACCCCAGCCCCTCAGACAAGGACAGAACATTCAAGGACACCAAGGCATTTTTCTTGTAGCTAGCTGACATTTGTTGAATGCTCACCTTGTCTTGGTCCCCTCTTCTCAACATTCCTGGTGCTACAGAATCCCTGGGGAGCTTTAAATATATACCCATGCCCAGGCCTCACCAGCCAAGATCATTAGACAATTGGTCTGTGGTGAGGCCTGGGCAAAAGTATTTTCTTTAGAGCTCCCCAGGGGATTCTACTGTGCAGCCAAGATTCAGAACCACAGTCACAGGCCCTCTGCTGAATGCTCTGCATGTGAGCATCCCAAGGCAGCATGCTTGTATGTCCAGAACTGGTTAGGCGTACTGAGATACTATCCCTCAGTCCCCTGGGCAGCCATAAGAATCCTGTTCCATTTTCCTCAGGAGCTATATGGTTTTGCTTTCTACATGCTTCAGGATGTGAAAAGGATAGGAACTAACTGCCTTACATGCATCAGCCCATTAGCCCATTAATTCATATTTGGGGAATGTCATAGCCATGATGCCAGGCTATGGAGTAGTATTATTTTCTTTGGAGGGGCAAAATGCTGATCCTGGTTCACTTCACACTCAATCCTGGGGGAACCAGAAGCCTAGATTGTGCAACCCTGGGGAAAGTTTGATTCCAAAGGCCCTCAGCATCTGTGCCGGAGTCAGAGGGCCAGGGAGATGCTGAGAACCCCCAGGAGCCTCAGGAACACCCACAGGAGGGCCTCAAACCCAATGGGGCAAGCAGCAGGGAGTCCCATGAAAGTGTATAAGTGATGCCTATTGCCCCATAAAGGTCCCCTTTCCCCCATGTACGCAGGCCGCAGGGACATCCCGGTGGCAGGGCCTAGGCTCCCCTGGGAAAGCACCCATTCCAGAAGCAGGCCCGCACAGGTAGGTGCACTCTTACCCTTGCCTCTCTTCTAGAAAGTAGCATCCTCGTCAGATACACCACTGCCACCTAGAGCCTGGTGTTACCCCATGGACACTGGTCCTCAGGGCCCTAGGATTGTCTCAGAAACCAAGGCAGTGAACATTAGGCTGCCTCCATCCATGGTTTCCAGACTGTGTTCCAGGAGCTCTAGAACTCCTTGAGGCTGCCTCACCCGAAGCCCAGAGTATAGGAGGAAGGGAGATCCATCTCAAGGTCTGCCTGGGAGCTCCTCAGAGCTGAGGAATCCTGAGTCTTCTCTGTCCTGCCCCCCACAGGGAATGGCAACAAATAAAGATGAGCAACAGGAGGACTGTCTGGAGTTGGGAGAGGCAGGACCATGGGCAGGGACTGGGAACTCTAAATTCTAAGTGCATACTTACTTGGTTAGCATCCCATTTCACAGATGAAGCAAATGAGGCTCAGAGAATAGAAATGATTGGCTCAAAGTTATGAGGTTAACTAGTGGCAGAGCTGGGGCCACATACAAGGTCTCTGGACTTTTAGTCCTTTATTATTTCCCATGAACCATGATAACTCTTAGAAAGGAAGACACACTTCTAGGGAGTTGAAAAGTGTGGGTGTATTGGGAGCAGGGTGGCAGTAGAGGAAATCCCTTGAAGCCCAGAGTAAAAGTGAGAGATACATGTGAAGAGCCAAATGCCCTCAGTCTCCTTTCCCCATGTACATAAATTCTCAAATGTAGCCTCATGCCCAGAAAGGGACATGCCCAAGTACACATACTTACTGCTGCACATGAGCACACTCTGCAGGCACATGCATGTGCATTTCCACCCAATACCTACCCCCAGAGGTACAGTCACATAGGGTCCACGCATGTACACACACACACACATGGGCACTTTCCTCAGATCTGCGGTATGAAAACACATATTCCCTACCAAGACAGAGATGCTTTCTCCCCTGCAGAATTGCAGGCAGGCAGGCAGCAGGCCTCTCTGCAAAAGCATAGCTTCATCACTGTTAGGTAGGTTTCGTCAGACAGTGACATTTCCCATTCACCTTCCATAGTGCCCTCCCCAGGGACTCAGCTCTTTAACCGTGGGAG